TGATGTTGATGAACTGGAAAATTTGGAAGAGATGCAAAAAATCCACTCATTAATCTCATAGCACGTACATATTTAGCATCAGCATCTATAAAAAAAAAACAGTAACTCTTTGATAAAATTTGAATTAAAAATACTTAGTTATTTTCTCACCAGTAGCAAAACCAATAATTCTTATATTTCTTTGTAAACACTGATTGAATATATACCACCATCTTTGTAATATATCATTCGCTGTAGCCGTATTATCAATACCATATGCTGATAGTAAAAAAGGACTTGGAATTGTGTTTTGAGTTGTTGATTGTACTGGTTGAATCATATGTACATTTAATAATGATGATTTATCAATTGAATTGAACCATAACTTCAATGTATCCAATGAATCAGTGTGATAATATTCTTTAATTGGTACCCCATGATCAAGTGGCGTAGGAAATCCAATAAATTTATTTGTTATTGAATCATATTTTATTTTTTTAATAACACCAGTGGCATCCTCAGAACCAAATGCATATTGAAGATTCAGATTCTCAAAATGTTTTTGAAGCTGATCGAATCGAAATTCTGCTTCACTAATTTTTAAATTTGAATTTGAAATTAATGTAGTCAACATTGTTAAACTTGGTAAAGAGCCGGGTATATTTAATCGAATAAATTCATACGTTAATTTTCCACCTAAAATATATAACGATAAAGCGAAGTCCTTGATTTTGTCACTGTATCGAAAATGATTGCTTGATTTTGTCAAGTTATTAGTAACAGTATTAATAAAATCTATTAAAAAACCATTTTTGTCTGTATTAGTAACACCTTCACTTTCAATTCGTTGATACCAAAGAACCAAGTTTTTTAACAATGGATGTTTGTTGATAAAATCGAATGTTAAGTTTGAATCTACATCCATATAACTATCTTCACTAATTTTGTTTTGTTGTTGCTTTAAAAAATCAAGTAAATAATTTAAATTATTAATTAATCCGACTTTTACGATAAATTGACCATCTTCAAGCTCCAAACATGACGTTTTTCTAATCGACAGGAAATCAGGCTCTGAACATTTCATATTAAATATATCAAAAATATTTGGATATCGAATTAAAGATTGTGTAGATGTTATTGATTGAAACTTTAAAATGTCCACTATTTGTTGTCCAACTAATGTATGAATAAAACCATAAAATTCATCGTTTTTTAAAGAAAACACATTATCTGTCATCGTATTATCCATCAGAAGAAAAATAA